TATTTAACTCGGGGAAATACCTAACAATGGAGAAGGCGCGAACAATGAGTTGAGTGAATTAGAGTTGATCGAACGGCATGACTCGGCCGTGCAGGCGTGGTCCCTGCTGAATGTTATCTTATTTCTTCTATTCATATTAAATATATTGTTCTTTCTCTAGCCTAACCTTGCTCTACATCATGTGTTGGTAATTGGTACGATACAGTGAGTTGGCGTAGTCGATGGTGTGACTTCCACGTAAGATCTTATAGATTAGGCAGTTATATCATGACAAATCTACAAATTTAGGATTAGGTCTATTATTAGAGCAGCACTAATATCATAGTAGACCATAATTCTACATTGGTGAGCCCAACTAGAGAAACGCAACCTATTATTGTTAATCTTATTTCCATTCTAAATTCTTTAATCTATTTTGTATATATGTTAACCCAATATTCTAACAGTCCTGATTAATGCTCACATGTATTATCGTAATGTTATATTGATTAGTTCTCATGACATACTAGCTCAATCGATAATAAAAACTAATTAGCTTTGATGGTTCGTTAACAAGCTTTAATAGCATTTACATGCTTCAGCGACATAGACTTGTTTAAACATCAAGCTCTAGCAAATATGACCTGTAAATAGCGTAAATATACATTGACTAACAATGCAATCAAGGACTAAATAGTTATCTGGATCTAATTCTCAGTATTCCTTCACTTAACACCTCATCTTGTTTTAAACTACGCACTATCTTGTAATATCTTTTCTTCCGACCACTGCCTGCCTAATTTCATATTCTCGAGTTCCATTGCCAAACAACAAGGATGACACTTCTCCAAAAAAATACGGTGAGTTCCAACTATAAGTTTTCTGCAATCATAAGTTCATTTTAGATGGCTCATTCAATGGCACACACAATTATCTGGACTCATTCAGTTGTTCTGATCAAAGCGAGTCCCAAAAACCTCAGCAGCATCAAGCACCCTGGAAGTGATTGCCATACTGCATGTTTAATTCTGGATACTTTTGGATCATTACTACTCCTCACGAATGGCGTTATATATGCCGTCCACTGAATAATCTAATTTTCAAAAATAACCCAGGCGAGTTCAACTATTTTACTTAATGATTTTTTTACTTAACATGTATATGTTTTCCGGTTCCTTTTGCTATATATTTGTAAGTGTCCCTAGGCTAAATGCAGTAACTTCTTATGGAATGTTTATAACGCATCATATTCCTGCCTGAAGTTTCACAAGCAGTCTTAACTTTAAAATTATTTTCTGGTCACGTTCATTATTTTTAAATCGTCATATACGTCAACAACCTGCATGTTAACCTGGCCCATACATACGTTACACTATATCTCCATGTCTTCTAAATTTAGAAATCATCTGGATCGCCTTTAACATTTATCAATAAACCCATCATAGTCGTTGTTGCTAATCGTATTTGGGTTTATGGATTGGTTTATCATATTAGCAGCCAAAATGCGAACATAGTTTAGATAATAAGATTAAAAATTTAGGTACTATCAACTGCACTAATAAAATAACTAAATCCCCAGGTAGCTGTTGGCTAAACAAAACTCCGTAGCCTACTAGAATTAACACTAAACAAATATTTCTGAATTGAAATTTATAATTAAATTAGGCGTCTCGGATTCTTTAACGTTATAAGTTTCTGATGATTTCGAATCACCTAAAGCAACAATACCTATTTTTCCACTGACTAATCCTCAATCAACACTATAACTAGTTAAATTTAATAGTATCAGGATGTCGTCATAAAGCATTGTCATAACTTGACAATCACGTAATATGACTGATAAAATTAATGAAACTATTAACGAAATCGGTCAACAAATTGACTTATAATTACCATTAAATGGTGTTGTTTTCTTGGTATCTTCATCCATCACAGATGATTACAGTATGTTTCTCTATCAGTTGCTTATTCAGCAAATATCTCAAAACCTTGTCAGTCTAATTGATGGTTTAGTGACACAATCATGCATGCAAATAATCAGTATAAGCAGTCGAGCAAATCTCCTGCAAACTGAAAACATCAATGTCGAATTTACCCCAACACTGACTAAGGTTCAAGCCATTATCATAAACATGAGTTGGGAGTGTACTCCCCTTGGCTACAACTTATGTTCTCCCTGATAATCACATGAGCATCAATCACTATTAATCATCTTGTAAAAACTTATTTAGCTAAATACATCTTGCAGCACCACATCACTTCGTAATATGACCCATAGGCTTAACTGATTTTAATAACTTATAACCACTATATCTCAATTAAATCGTATTCTGCCAGCATACGTGCAACTAACTTGTATGCCCATCAGCCGGCAAGTATAAATATAAATATAAATAGTCTATCGCAGATCAGAACATTGAGTCTTGAGAATGTCTCTTACGAACACACTCATGTTTAACGATTTTTCCTAGCTATCTGTCCAAAATCCATATAATTATCACTCACGTATTTAAATTTTATTTTGATAACCATTCATGTGTATTAGTAGTATTACTAAATCCTATCACGGTCAAGTAAAAATGAGGTTGAGAAGATCTCCCCGCAACTAAATAAACCGTATCAAACTAACTGGAACACTAGTTGGAATTCTTCTCCACGGTATACTTTCGTTCCTTCAGTTAGCCTACTAATACAGATGCAATTGGAATTCAACTCATATGGACAACTTACCGGCATAATCGTTATTTGATTTCATAGTTTAAACCAAAACTAATACCAATATTAACATTTCTACAGTATTCATTACTTTAATATTTCTAAACACAAAATAATTACTGCCTATAATTCAAGTTATTAACACGCATCGTTTTATTATTATTATTGTCATCCCATTTTTTATAGTTCGAATAATCTTCAACCAAATTTTCATTTTAAGTGTGTTAATCATGAAAGCAGATATTTTAAGATTATTACATGTATTTCCCGACCAGATGCTGCCGTCTTTTTGATTTATCTTTCAGCTTATCAATACCCGGAGGATCCTTATTATCCTTGGTAACCTCCGGCGCGCGACGATCCCATCCAATTTGGTATCGAACCAACATCACGTTGATTCTGGTGGGAGAGTAGTGTAGTGGCATTGGACAATAGCCACACAATCCACAAAGCTGTGAACACGAGACTACTCAGAAAATAGATATTCAATATTTAACTCGGGGAAATACCTAACAATGGAGAAGGCGCGAACAATGAGTTGAGTGAATTAGAGTTGATCGAACGGCATGACTCGGCCGTGCAGGCGTGGTCCCTGCTGAATGTTATCTTATTTCTTCTATTCATATTAAATATATTGTTCTTTCTCTAGCCTAACCTTGCTCTACATCATGTGTTGGTAATTGGTACGATACAGTGAGTTGGCGTAGTCGATGGTGTGACTTCCACGTAAGATCTTATAGATTAGGCAGTTATATCATGACAAATCTACAAATTTAGGATTAGGTCTATTATTAGAGCAGCACTAATATCATAGTAGACCGTAATTCTACAGATTTTTGGGGGTAGACTCTGAGACCAAATCACCAGATCAGCTTAAGCAGTGTTGTCTGTTTCTTTTTGGCTCTGTCAACGTGGATGCAATCATGTACAGAGTTTTTGGGAACCACTGTTGCATTCAAGGACCCTTAGCAGGGAAACCCGAGTTTACTGACGGAGTCTATTACCGTTGACGTGATAATGGTGCTGAGTTTCGACATTTCATCATTAACGCTAATGCATGCTCCATCGATGCTAGACCTGTCGACATCCCTATTCTTGTTCTCCTTGTGCGCCCTTGTTTGTCTACCCGTTTTATGACTGTCTTTTTCCAAGTTTGCCGACAAATTACTCCGCATGCCTGTCAATAGAACAATGATGTTGCTCAGCAAGACTACAGCATCTGTGCTGCGTGTAACACATTCCCACTTATGATCCGACTTGCAGAGTCTATTGTAAGCAGTTGCGGTGAGATCTGTGCACGCTTCATGGAACCAACCTTTGCAGTTGTCGCACTGCATGCCAGATGTAACAGCGAAACGGCATCCAGGTCGTTTGCATGAATTTTTCATGACTATATTGACGTAAACTGTGTTACAGATGCTAGTAAAAGCCTAAGACCATACAAAAATACACTAAAAAGCACACTTAAAGCGAGCAAAAATGGATATAAACGGATGAGATAAACTGAACTAGCCTGTGGTTAACCAGACGATGTATAAACGTGAAAAGTATCAACAAAGTCATTAAAGATCAATAGCAATATTAATATATACCAGTTAATTGTTACAAACACAATAAAAAATTGGGACTTTACTTAGGTTCACCAAATTGATGCGTGTTCAGCTTTAGTCTGGTACTGTAAATCCACAATTATAAATGCTTGGTAATTCCAATCAGGTTGACGAACTCTCCAGTAGTGTAATCCAACGTAAGGTATGGTATATTCTCACCCAGTCTATAAACGTAGGTAATATTTGATTCAGATTTCAGTTAACTCAACCACAAACGAAAATAGAACGAGGGGTACGTGTGTAGCAATGTATTTGTTAACAAGCAACCGTATGTCACGCTATGTAGTTACACAACGGAAAGTGTGTTCAAGGTCGTTCACTTAAACAACAGATGCAGTCATTTAATGATAAATGTACATACAGTGAAAGATTGACGAAATAAATACAAATAATATTAAAAACTATTTACAAAATAAGCTTGTCAGGTCTATCTCCACAAGCCTTTTCGTGTATAGTACGTTGAGGCAAAACCACAGTTAACTATTAAATTGAGTGAAACACGAAAAAGAGTAATCTACCAAACGTATGGCCTAGAATAGATTCTTTCGATCAGTAATGGTACTTTCGTTGCGTAAGAACACAGCAAAAGTTTGATTAATGCGCGGTAACAATATGTTCCTATCTAAAAGCCATGTTTGATAATACTGATGAAAATAATTTTTAGGCTACATCTTCTTGCGGAAAAGTAACCCATGACTTGTTCAGAACTGCGACTTTAGATATTGTACGAACAATCAGTGACAACTTGAAATGCATCAATTCAAGGCCAGGTTTCAGGCAGATAATTTAGTGTTAAGGTAATTCATTCTATCTTTCTGAATTATTCGGCTTCATAATGAAGCTGCCAATTTTGTAAAAGCCAAGACTGTCGCTGTTGAATTTTTCATGACATTTTTTATAAACTTATCATGATCGTAACTAGTTTTCATGTTCATTTAGTTGGCTCTCAGTGAGTTCATCCATCAGATCATGTTATACAGATAACCTAAATTATTAAAGGATTGTAGTAATTTGTTGGATGCGTTTTCAATACAGCCTGTGAAGGCGATATTTATCTGAATCTAGTTCCGCTTTGAAAGGGGATTTTGCAAGACCAAAATCCTTTCGACCAAATATATAGTCGCCAATTGTAATAAATCTTGTTGTCGTCTTATGTAACGGTTTTCCCAATTCGAAATGGTTTGTTACAAAAAGCAACTTTCATGGTGTATGCCATCGCAAAAATTAGTCATTTTAACCCTAGTAAACGAAATTACTATAAATTTACCCTATATCTCCACGCAACATTTCAAACTGTTGTTGTCTGAAATCCACTTCGAAACCATACAAAACAGGAGTTTAAAAATACTTCAGTGTGTAGTGTAGGTATAAAAAGAACCTTTTTTGCGAATACCCGAATCAAGAATATATGTACACATGTATTTCTTTTAGAAACTAAAGCCATAATCTTAGTTGTTCCTTAAAAGAGAGGATGGAATTTCGGCCAGTAGCATACACTACCTTTCAATCTGTGCCTGGTTGGCACAGCTTCAAAAGTATTGTGAGGTTGCGCTGTTGTAGGCTTATACTTGAGCATTCAACTTCTAGAGATGAATCTTCCAGTGTCCGTATTTCCAAAAGCAGTCCCCACGTTTTAGGCACTCATACGGTCACAAATCTCTGAGGTCCATCATAGGAGCCTGATTCACATGGCAGGGGTTTTACATCAAAGCGGGAGGACTGAAATGTGCAGCCGATCAGTCAATATGCTGCAAAGCATGTGTTTATTGGTCCTGGTTGTCACGCCGCATCTGTAAAGTTATATAAAATCAACATGATTTGAAGAAGTAATAATACCGACAATAGTAAAACTGGCTATAGAAAATACGATTTTAAAGAAGAATTGAATTGAGGAAATGAGACATAAAATAGTGCTGAAACTAAAGATTCAGAGAAAGATAGCGGATAAATTCGTTTGCTTGAGTGATCGATCTAAAACCTTCATACCTAGTATTCCCAACTCGATAGTATACTCCTACCCAAATGACTCAACCAACAGTCAGTTAATTCCTGGAAAAAAATCACGTTTTTATTTAATCTATCCTAATCTTTCAGCTTATTCCTATGTCAGTCAACAAGAGGGATCTGACTTACGTTGTTCGATGGTTAGTCACAATTCACCTAAATCTGTAAGGTACTTGAAAACCAGTAGTTATTCAAGGAAAAAAGTTTTGCGGGCCTAGTTTAGCCACTATCTAGCCTAAAAATGCGCATATTATCGCTTCAGTATCTTGAGAGTTGATTTGTAGATCAATATTTTCAGCATTGGTCCTTTCGAAAGCAACTAATCACTTATGCTCAAAGAAAAAACAACCTTCATGTGGATTATGAGGATATTCGAGACAAATATGAAGAATTTACCCTAAGAACATGGGAAATCTAGTCTAAAAAACATTCATATTTAACTATGCAGTAAAGTAGGATTGAAAATAACACAAACGAAAATGCATAATTTCTTTATCTATCTGTTACCTAGCAACATTTGGGTAATATTCAGACTTGCTTGATCAATAGAGTCATCTTTAAACACTGTGTTCTTGCGGATTGATGGTTGTTTGATTGGTTCCACCATCCTGAAAGACACTTCGGTGGCTTGGGCATGTTTATTGAGTTTCATCTGAATGGCTTCTACACTATGGATTCTTTTCTCACTTCGAGGCTGAGAAATAATCATTTCATGCCGTAGAGCTGTCGTATGGAAAATAGTTCTACGGAACTGGAAATTATTGGTCTGTCTCGATACCGTGGTTACTGTCCTATGTACCGTGAATCTAAAATATGGCTCGTAATAAAAGCGAATTATGAACCTACTGTAGCCTCCCTATCCATTCTTTACAGACGTGAAATGAACTTTCTTAGCTGAAAGAAATATTTCTTGGTTGTGTTCTGGTTAAACTCGGGGAGTAGCCCCCTAAGGAAAGCATTTGCCTAGTTTTGGGCATCTGATCTTTTCGATTACTGCTTATACTTTTACCACCTCTACCACTATGGGATTTGAATCGACAGTTGTATCTCTGTGCTAATGTGGTACGGCAACTCGATGTACGTACGTACAAAGTTCTACTTTGTTGCTGACTAACTGAATTGGGCACCCGGGCAGTATCCCAGCACACACAAATTAAATGATGACTGCAACTAAAAAAACAACTCATTGTTTAATTCTCACTCCCGCAAATCATACTCAAAACTATTTTTTAACAAACGTTTTTACTTTTTGATGCATCACTTATCTGTTCCTCTATCCCTATTTTATATATTCTTTTGTTCTTCAACTCATACATGTCCTTTCTAAACGATGTCAAGTTACTGGCTGGTCGAAAGTTCAAGACTACCACCGAATACAAATTCCGAACCAGTTTTTCTAAAACCACCTATACCATTTAAACTAACCTCCTTCAACGTTCACACGTTAAGGCAGATCGGACAACACAGGTGTGACTGTTTCTAGGATGTCTTAACATCGATATCTGTTGTCTATCCTAGACCCGTATTCAAGACTACAACGAACAGTTACATATTCGCTCTTCATCTGCCGCTTCGAAAAGTCTGTTTCACATGCGTTTATCCGGAAACCCTGTTTTATTGTCTGGTTTTGCTGGTGTTGGTGTCGTACCATGTGCTGGATCTGAGGCAGCATTAGTCGATTGGATCCCCATAAACAGTCGATTACGTGCTGTCAGATTAAAAAGCTCTATCAAAGTGAGAAATTGGCATGAGAAACAATGTTTTTTCGTTATCTTTGCCTACGCTCCGACAGACTGCAGCCCGAATGCGACCAAGGATGACTTCTATTACCAGTTAAGTGTTCTACAGAAAGTGCTTTCGACAGATATTGTAGTACTAGCCGGAGGCTTGAACGATTAGGTTGGGGTTTTGGGCACAGTGGAGAGTTGTTCAAATGGCTAATCGGAACTCGTTAGTCGTAGGTCAGATAACAGGGACCGTCTACTGCAACTGTGCGCAGACGACAACCTGTTTCTAGCTAGCACTAACTATCGGCACAGTCATCGCTGATGTGCTACCTGGCGTCCTCCCTCTTCATCTCAAGACTGGACCCAGATTGATCACATTGTGATCAGCTACCACTGTTGTGGTTGTATATGAGACTGCCGCTCGTTTTTGAGTATCTATCTGGATTCTGATTATGGCCTCATTTGCGTTAATGTCACCTTACGTTTCAGTGCCCAACAAATTTGTCGTCCTAAACGAATCGATGTCAGTAGGTTGGTTGTACCTTCTATTGAAATTAGATATCAAACCGAGCTAGGTTCAAGGCTAGCTACCACCCCACCGAAGTGTATAGATGTGCATTGGTTGCAATTGTATGGCACCATGAAAATGGCGAGTAGTTGCTTGCGACTTTACGAAACGTCCAGCTTATAAGAACTGCGTTTTTTCAGACTCTTTACAACTCATTGAAGCCCGTCGGTCTACTCTGGGTGACCGTGAGTTTGGCCACAACCGACGACCGTTACGTAATGAAATTGAACAAACCTTGCGTAAAAACCGAGAAGCCTAGTGGTCGGAGCGTGCCAATGAGTTGGAAGAGGCAGCTGCCTCTGGTAACTGCCGAAGGCTCTTTAAACTCATCCGAGCTACTGGCAGCAATAAGTCTGGTGTGAGTAAAACAATCTGTGAAGATGACAGGATGTCAGCCACTAACATCTGTCGACGTCTTGGACAATGGGCAGAGATTTCCGGGGGGCAGTTCAACCGGTCTTCCGCCCCGGCATCATCGATCAGACTGTTTTGTTCTCCATGGCCAGTGACGACTGAACCACATAACGAGGGGAAAGTTTTAAAGGAACTCTGACTCTTGAAGCGCTACAAATCAACAGGCCCGCATGACTTGCCTTTGGTACTTCTTAAATATGTTAGCGACTTTCTGGTTAAGTTGTTTACGAGCGTCTAGCGATTAGAGAGTGTTTCAATATCGTTAAATGAGTCGATAGTTGTCTCTAATTTTAAAAGAGTTTACGTCACCCAAGTAGACTTCCGATTGTGAAAAAATTGTCGCCTTCCCTCATACTTCGCAGATTGTCCAAAACCCGAGATTGACTCGCTGGGATTAGGCTGGTTTTCTTTCTAGTTGAGGGTGTATTGATCATATCTTCATCATCCGCCAAATGTTAGAACACCGTCATACTTATTACAGGCCAACAATCGTGGTGTTTCTTGACACCAGGGCCGCTTGCGATTCACTGGAAGTTCGTGTATCTGAGTAGCTGCATAAGTCCTGGTTGTGGCGTGAATGCAGAGATCAATCCATGTATAGTGAAAGCCAAAGCGGCTTATGCCAATCTGGGCCATTTTTAACGCTTCCGTGATGCTAGTCATGCTGTGACGTCGGATCTACAGCGCGTCGGTGAGAGTAGTTTCGCCCTAAGCTTGTGAAACCTGGCCTCTCCGAGTTGAAGATGTTCGACGACTCTCTGTATTTGATCGTCGTTATCTCCGAAGGATTGCTGACACCCAGTGGCAACACCATGTTAGTAATGTAGAGGTTCGGCATCACGTGTTCGGGTACAGCGATGATAATACAATTGGTGTCACGATCTTGGAACGTCGGCTTTGATGGTTTGGACATGTCCTACGATTATGGTCTCAGAGAATTCCTCGTCGTGCATTATTTTCCGACGCTGGGGCTGGTTGGAAAAAGAGAAGATGTGGTCAGTTTATGATGTGGTGTTGTAATGTGAAAGAAAGCTGTACAGAACTGGCTTCTGTTAGTCATTCACGACTTCCTGGTTGGAGTCCTAGAAATGGTGTAACAAAGTGGCTTGAGATGTTATCAGAAATGTTTCAGAATAGAAGCCATCGGTGATCGTGATGTAACTTTTTTCCTTAAAAGTGAGAGTAACTCCTTTAACCGAAAGAATTTTTTCTGGTTGTATTTTTCGTAACTGAACTGTTTCTCTCATTTATTATTATTATTATTTCACTCACACTCACTAATTTATATCCGTTTTTATTCTTTTTTTATTATGCACGCCTTCCTTTATCTACTTCACAACTTCATTTTCATTCTGTTGCGCATATATATTTTGGTGCTTCCTTGTATCAGCATTTATGTGTTCAAATAAATGAGTTACAAACTTTTTACGATATTTGATAATTTCGAATAAATTGAGCATTGGGTAGATTGTTATAAGTAATTAATATGTTCTCTGAAGAAGCGACCCAAAATAAGTCACGAAACGTCAGGAAATCTAATTTTTATACTCATTAGGATATTACAAATATATTGTTTATTTTTACGATATTGATTATAGCATTTTATGCCAATATGGTTTATTTAAAATATACTGAGATGATATCACTTCCCATCCGATGTTAGGTATAGCAAACTAGTGTTTTCACAGGTTTCATTTCTTATAAAATAGCTACCTGATATTAAATATAGTCCTTATAAATTAAAAATATCAATCGAACTAGTACTCTTAATGTTACCGTTATGCAATTCGTTGTGTTTAATATTACATACAATGTTGACTAGTACGTAATGAGATTAAAATATAGCTCTTTCACAGTTGTACTCAGTAAGGAATAAAGGTAGGTTTGAACTCCTGTAAATTGCTCCATATCTTGTCCCATGATTTCCCTGAAATAAGTATTTTTGTGGTTATTTTATTCAAATAAATCCCATCAAATTGATGCGAACGATAGAGTAATATTAGTAACTTTTTTTCAAATATTTTTACGTGGTGTAGTGTGGAGTACAGAAATCAATGACAGAACACAAAAATCCTACAGATATCAATGAAGTATTACCTCCGTCTTTAGCTGCTGTTAGAGAGATATTTTCGGAGTTTAACGTCTCGGAAGTTTCGGATGAAATATGTACACGGGTTTTGGATGTTTTGTATAGTATGTTTTGTTTTAAAGTTTGCCTTTATACGGTAGGACACACATGTAATGTCATCGAAGAGGCAAAGGCTGTTTCTCATCATGCCGGTCGACCGAAAATTGAGGAAGATGACGTACAACTAGCCATCAGTTCAGTCACAGATGGACTTATGTTCGCACCCCCATATAGAGATCAGTTACTGGCTTATGCTGAGAAAAATGAACAGCCACTACCAGCTGTTCGTCCTCATTGTGGCATTCGTCTACCCGCTGAACGCTTCACACTCACAGCTCCAAATTATTCACTTTTATCATGTGCAGACAACGCAAAAACAGTAAGATCCAATGTATTATATATATATATATATATATATATATATATATATATATATATAGGCTTTTGTATTCATCGTTGTTCATATAGCTTGCTACAAAGAAAGGTTTCTTCACTTCGTTTGATTATCAACCAAGTGGATCACGGGATCGAAACTTTTTCCATTTATTGTTAGAAGCAGACAAGTATCGCTAGGTCTGAATATGGGAGTTGTAGTCCTAGTCATTTACTCCTTATATTATTATATTCACCAATCGGAATCAGCTTGAACAACTATCTAAAGTATTATAAATACTATAAACGTATATTTTCACATTTTTCAAGATCGTCGATAAACGATTATGTATGAGCTCATAGAATGTGTTGTGAAATAGAATTTCGTTTGCTACTCCCCAAAACTTAAATGCTTAGTAACTCAATCAACATTGTAAACTCTTGACTCCCCTTACTGTGTAACACCTTTATTGGATGTGATAATTACTTACGCAGCTATGAGTAACGGAGATGGTGTGTTTGCAATATAGCGGACGTTCCTTCCAGGGGCCTGTGGAAAATAACGATTTTCTTTGTGACTATTATTTGACTGATGGCATGGTGCAAGGCGATGATATTATTCAAATATGGTCCACTAAGTCCTTTTGTTTCAAATTTTAGTGTTTCGAATGTTTTTATAACTCTATTAAAGAGTACATGTCACCAATGGTATGCATACAATCCACTTGCTTGTGCTATGTGTAGATATACTATCAGGCTGTATAGTTATGCTATTTGGACATTAAAGTCATGAAGATCGAAAAGCTCTTTTCTATTGGTGACCTCAATGTATTGGTTTTACTACTTAGGTTTCGGTGAAGTACTATTACTGTCATCTGTAAATATAACTTAAATTTTAGGGAGACCTTAAAACAGTACCAGAATTAAACTTGATTTATTTTTAAATAAGTAGAAAAGTCATTCAGTACATTGTAATTTATTCTTTTTTATGACTTCCTGACCGTGTGAATGGTCCATTTTATTCTTAGGTGTGGTGAAATATTTACCCATTCATTGAAGCTGTGTTTGAAATAAAGAAAATATATTAGTAAGTGTTCCTGTTTCATCTATTTCTCATTTCTGATTCGATAGAATCCTTCATCTGAACTCGCTGGGGATTCTTCGATGACACTTCATATATCCAACCCCGTTAATCCTACCAAAAATATATTTAGAGCTATTAATCCTTCAACCAGACCAATTACTGTTGGTAATCCTATGGGACCATCTGTTCATGTTATTGCCGCTCCTGGAATGGGACCTTCTATGATTCGTGTTCAAACTGTCCAAAATGTTGCTCAATTGTCCAGTGTAGATACCAGCACTGGCTTACGAACACTTCCCGTGGGCCCTACAGTATCCAGTGGTAAGTTTTTTAACGAATCTTTTTGCTTCTTAGTTTGGTCAAATATTAAATTGAATCATCTGTTCAACATTTGTCGTTCGCTTTAAACAATGTACCTGGTATTATGCGTTTGTGCAAGGATCTAAGTTACCTAATGACCTACTTTAATTTATTCATACCTGGTATAATATCAAAAGTTTTTACAATAGTGTGGTGAAAATCTACATTTTGGGAGTTTAGTTGAAGAATTTCAGTAAATTGTTATGAAACAACATGCTTTCTATAGATAGATCTTTCTAAACCAGTATTATTTAGTTTTTTCCCTCAAAATACACTAGTTATTTTTAATCAACAATACTCTATGCACAGTATTTGTGGCTTAGGATATGAATGTAGTAATACAAGTATTTTAAGTGTTGGCCATTTTATAGCGTCATGCTTTCGATGACATGAAATCTGCACCATAAACAATATTAGCTCTTATAGCACTTTTTTTAGGAAGGTAATAATTCCCAGTCAATGCATGAGAAAAACATTTATGGTAATATTGGTTCTATGGTAATTTATCGTCAGTTAGCTCTATACACCTCATTGTTCCATACTTTAATGATCTTGACCTCACTTATTCTAGTGAGTTGTTTACACTAATTTCTCAATGGCTGTTTTTTGATCATACAAGTGTTCCGCTTGCTACAAATTCAAAGATTAATTCAGATATTTTAGTACGTCGTCCCGTGAACGTGTAAACTTCCTACTTCAGCAAACAAAAGAGGGAGATTGTGCTTTCATAGGAAGTGCTTCGAAGTTCTGTATACAGCAATCATTTACCGAACCAAGAATGATGAGCATCTTAGCTGTGTACACATAATCATTTGGTTATGACTTATACTAATCGCAGCTACGCGTTGACATACTAATTTTAATGGTCAATTATTGTTTTATTCAGTTATTATGGTACGTAGGTACATCAGTTCAAGTTTCCGTATCCCATCAGCACAAACATAAAACTTACAGGCCAAATCCCGGAATAGTAGAGTTAGTAACAGTACAAGTGGTAATTGAAAATACTGGAGATCGAAGATACGACCCAAGAAAGTATAAATTAATGAAATAAAAGCATATAAAATGTTGTGAGGAATTCAGAAGCCCAGAATTTGGCGGAAGACAAAGAATGGATGCACTTACGCCATTTCAAATAATTTCGGACTATCGGTTACGATAATCGTGCGGACCGCGATTTAAAAACTAACAAGATAACAACATCTATCAACTAGTATCGAACTAGTTTTATATTTATCCCCAAGCAGCTGGGTTGAAAATTGAAGTTAGTTCTGATGGGAAATTGTCTTTAGCATTGCTGAGCGTTGAATGAGCTATATAGTGTAAGTAGGGCTGTCTCACTGCTTATTTTTTGCATTACTGTAACTCGAAATGCCATGCTTTTTATTAAAAGTTTAATTTTTTCTGGTTTCTTGATCTTTTCTTTACAGTCATGTCTTTGAATCGACGTTACATGGACACATCATAATTCATTTTGGCAGTTACTAATGATAAACTTCCATGACTTTTTTGGCTATGAACTCTAAATTAGGATCCTCAATACCATTTCAGTGATGAATTTTTCAGTCCATTATTTTCTTTTATCATCATGTATATAGTGTTCAATTGTATATGAACTTTTGTAATTTTTTTTGTTTCCCTTTTTTAATTTGTTACTCAGCTGTACGTATACAAAACTTAGAAGTTAACTGATTTGAGTATATTGACCAGTTAGAGGATGAAGTTTCCCGGAATAAAATAGCCGTGAATAAGTTTATGAGTACATTGAACGATTATGGTAATAAAACGATTTAATTCCCAATAATTCCTGCTGTTTTATTCTTAAAACAATCCTTTTATTTCTACACATACTAATCTCATATCTTCAGTATTGAGAGATCTATAGAAAACATTGAGGTAGCAGCAATTGTCCGTTTCTGATTTTTAATAAGTCAACTATTTTAAAAACGTTTTGGATCTGCATGATGATTGTGATCAATAATTCGGAACTTTATATAATAATTGATCCAAATCATTCACACTGGCTCATATGTTCTCTTAAATCTTGAGTTTTAGCATACTTCCTTGAATTCTATCGACTTATTTCATCCCTCCTTTTCAGCCGTATTTTCTGTGTCTAAATGTGCTATCATCGATACTACTAATATTCCAAATCTCTCTTGTCGGTTTTTTGTCGCTGCGGTGCTGTGTCGTGGTAAATCGGATCAATGTATATACATACCTGCTGACTATGACTGACTGTTTAGAAACTCATAACAATTACACAAGTGTTAACTACTACAATTCAATAAATGAAAAATCCAGCTGTATTTCGATCTGTGGTTATGTAATACAATATCGTTGAACAGCCCCGAAAATAGCGATTAGCAGATCGCAGATTTGAGTTCTAACTGGCAGTCAAAATTACTATAATTAAAGCTAACAAGAAAATATCATGTAATGCTCGTTGTTAAAAGCAGTGGAAACAGTCTATAGATATGATTACTGTAATGAGAAAGAAATACAAATTGAATAATTATGAAGATAAATGATTTAAACCCCTTCTCCCATATAAATGTGGATAAAAATAGATAGATAGTTCTTATCGCTACATTTGTATAACAAGCACACCTCAAAGTGTAAATGACAGCGAAATACTTGATAAAAAGGATAGTTATTATATGTGAAAATCATATTTGAATAATCTCAGCGATTGAAGTTTATGAGTACATTAAACGATTATGGTAATAAAACGATTTTATTCCCAATAATCGCTGAGATTATATAATTTTCACATATAATGACTTCTCTATACTCGGCACCCAATTTCTGTCAAACTATTCGTTCTAATCTTGACGAATATTCGTATAAAAAGGATAGTTGTTTATTGACTTGTATGGTTTAAAGTTAGTGAATTTGAAAATACAGATTATTGATCCGCTCGATGTTTTGAAGGCAACACCTAACTGTGGTTCAGACTGGATCTTCAGTAAATAAATCAATTTCCTCAAGGTTTCCAACACGGTTTGTTAATGAGTGTTAGTCAACAATAAAGCTAGATCCAGAGATGCGCAACAATGTTCTTCGATCAATATAAATAATTCATCACAGTTTCTATTATTTCTACAAATCATTTTAAATATAATTTATTTAAAGTATAATATTATAATGGTTGAGATCATGAGTCAATTAAAGCTAGACCACCGTGGAAAACCTAGGAGCACTGGACGGCCATCTCGTTCTATTGTGGAACTCCTCGGCAGTACGCATCCACCATCCCCCCTCTCGAGATTCTAATCCAGGAGTCCCATAATAGGACGAAACGACCATCCAGGTTTTCCACGGTGGTCTAGCTTCAATTGACTCATGATCTCAACCATTAGAATTGCTATAATATCCACAAAACCCCTTCTGATATATTATACTTGTTGTTGGTTCACTAAACCACGTTTACAGTTTACGTAACATTGTTAGTCATATATTTTTTATTACCCAAAATCCAGCTTATTTAAAACAGACACTAAAATCTGTCAACTAATCAAATAGAAATCTTTTAATACAATTTTAATATTTACCTTTTGTACAATTTAATACTTTAAACTCTAGGTTTAGTCAAATAAACATTCCTTGATTTATAGTTTGTTTTTCTTTTGCTTCAATATAATCTACTTGCTACGAAGAATATTTCTGTTATTTGTGTGTTTTTTTTCTTTTAAATATTTAACTCGAAAAATTTGGAAAATGATAACTGAATTATTACAGTAAAATTACAATACACTATAATTTATCATATTTATGAATGATTTACGACAGAAAGGGAAATAATTAATCTCTTCATTTTTGTTAATTCATTATTCCCTAAAGGATAGTTAGTTTGATATTTTGGTGCATTTTTTGTTGTTCTTGTTGTTTTTTGTTTGTGAATATGAAGAAGTACGAAGATTAACATAAACTTATATATATACATATATAAGGATTTAATCTGACCAGATTTAATCCGTTCCGGTCATGAAACACGTTCATATTTATTTATGTGTATGTGTGTAAGTTTACTTGAACGATAATTATCTGTAATTTAGATATCAACAAAAGTGAGTTCTATGTGCTCACCATACAGTTTAAAAAGAATTTGTAAAGATCTTTGCTAAAGGAGACACGGTTTTATAATTAACAATTAACAAATGTTATTTAATGAATTTTATTTTACCACAAAACTCAATTCTAAATAAAGCAATTACACTTGAACAACAATTCCTCCAAATCTGATATAAATTTTATTGAATATAGTCATTATCTAGTTTAGGAATTTAATAATATGATAGAACCATGATCACCTTTATATTTAAAAGGACTGAACTAAATACACTAACTCAAAAATAACTCTTCAACATCTTCATATGAAAGCTATGTAGCACTTGTTTGTACATTAAGTTTAAAATCTACACGATTAGTTTGATGTAAGAACAAATAATCTTATCTTGAAATGTGGCTTATGGAATTCAACATTGTATGCACTGTTTAAAGAAATTGCACAAAAGTTGATTTTTTCAATTTTAAACAATTTGACTGACTATAATGTATAGTCGCTAAAATGTTTCTCAGATAATGCTCATGCCTTATAAAACATTTTATTTTTGAGATTTTATTAAAATAATAACAATCAGATATAATTTTATAAACCATGGACATCGGTGACTGAAAATTAAACGGTCCCAACCTTCCAATTGGCAAACAAGTTCGAACTTCTACAAGAAAATAATCGAAATCAACGTCAAAGGATATATATATAGTTTTAAAACAAAGTCAAAAGTTTATCCAATCAAGTTCATATGTTTATTTTGCGTAGTGACTTCAAAAGAACATTTGATGTGAAAAGTGCTTCAGTGTATGTGTACTGTATTCTGTTGATATTAGAAAATATGACTAAGGACATTTTAATCGTTTTTGTTTTTTGTAGAACTAATAGTAAGTATGAGTATGAAAATCTTATTGAAGTATCTGTAGAATCGGTCCAGTCAAATATATAACCATGTTGTTAAATTGAGGTTTATCATGGATAAATTCAAAAATAACTGAATAAGCGCTCGTTTTTATCGGGATCATGCTTCAGTTAGTATAGGCGAGGTGGATACTAAGTTCAATGTATTTATTTGTTGGTCAACATTTACCGTGGAGTAGACAATTATTCTAATTCAGCACCTAAACCGTCGTAAAGAATTTTTGTCCCTTGAAATTTGATTTTGCTTCTGAGTGTAGTACTATTTCTAAACTTTTATTAGGCTTCTTGAGTTCTGGGGATGTAGGAGAATGTTACAAACATTATTTGTGTTCTCCCACCCTAATATTGAACTATCTAGATTTTGATGGAGTTTTGTTCTCTAAGCTGGATGGTTTGGTCGTGGAGCTTTCGTCGTTCTTCTGAACGATATCATCAGCACAAACTTCAGGTAGAAGTGAAGTGTTCGAATTTCTCAACATGTGGTTCGCAGCTTGACCTGTAGACCTCAATGTTGATTGGTTCTTGTTGACAGGTCAAAATCATCCACCTGAGCTACAAATCTTCATCTCACTACCTAGATGTCTCTCTTACATATACTGAATTACACTCATAACACCTAACTTGTTCTTCTTTTGGTATCTTATCCTTTACTTCACTAATGTTGATTTAATGTTATCACTAGCTCAAAAATAAACTTTTATATCATATTTATTTCGAACTTTATTCACAATATGGGATGATCATTGTTTTTTTTCGTCCTTTTAGTAAACGCTCTGATTTAGTTTTCTTTCTTTTTTTTAAATATGTTTATGGGATTTCTTAGGATAATTATTTTTCCCAAGTGTAAATAGGATCAAATGTAATCCAGTTTGTATGTCTTCTATCTCATTACCAAGCTTAATATCACCGTTTACTAAGTTTCTAGCAATCATGAAAGACGGTGTGATGACTAGTAATATTGCTAACGCTTGCTCTGTTGTTTTTTCTCTTCAATCGGGGAAGTTTAGTTTACAGTTCACAAATTCGGGTTATTTAGGCAGTCTTATGCTACCCGATGTAGTATTAACTTGTCGATTTTTTTTAGATTAGTCTCATCTGATAACAAAAATATCAACATATCGTAACCGAATCTCAGGTGGAAGCATATTTCACGATTGCACTTGTTTCCAAAGCGTGCATAAATAAATTTCGTATTACTTGTGAAAGTAGTAGTAGCCATATCCACTCCTTTTTGTTGATACAGAGTTCAAAAAATGAAAATATGGACATAGTAATAAAAATATGACTTCCATATGAACCCGTTCATTTATGTAGTGCAACATAACTCCACATCAGATGATAGTCTTCTACAGATAATCAAATATTATAGATCAGGTTGCAGTAGGGCTACTAATTTGAATGACTTAAGATCGCTCTGCACTAGACTCTAAAAGATAATCAACATGGTAGATATAAGCTGCGTGTTAGTTGGTTTTCATTAATGAGGTGTA